TAATGGTCGTACAAGGTGAAATGGAAACTGGCTTCACAGAGGGCACTCTGAAATGCTGAGAATAAGGCCCCCTTCATTCCCTTTCCTCCCTCGTCAAAGAATAACCTCAATTCTGCCCCTATTCCTAGTCTTGCAAGGCAGCTCCAACTGTAAGGAGTTGCCTTCCTCATTTCTTTGTTCCTGCCCGTCCCTGGGAACGAAGTTCTACAGGTGCATCAGTACTTAGTATGAGGTAATATAGGAACTGACCCAACAGAGGGTTCTCTCAGAGGCCAGAGGCCAGGAAGCCAGATGCACACTCCAATCCCACTTTCTGCGGCATAGGAGAAATCATGAGCTGAAGCAATCCTCTCAGTGATGCGCTAAGCCAGTCTAGGGGAAGTAGTGATATGACATTCTAAAGTGAAATTGCACTTTTAACCCATGCAAATGCAACTGCTTTTAGTTTGGGATCCTCTAGGGTACCTCTACTTCTCAGCTACAATCTGAATATATTTTCAAGGTATTTTGGTTCCAACATTGTTTTATCAGTATTTCTGTGGAAGAATGAAAGGTAGAGTTTTCCACTCTGCTATTTTGCTGACTTCACCCCTATTATTTGTTAAGACATTAATTTTACTTGAAAAAAATATGCCATTTGAACTGGCTGATAGACAAAGTGTTAAGATATGCACCCCTCAGTAACTTGGCATTTCTAATATGCCTATGGGTCTATAGCTATTTGATTACGTTTACTTGTTACTTTAGGCTTCAGCCTTCTTGATTAGGTTAGGATACATCAGATTATTTGAGCTGAATAGTGCTCCTTATTTTGACAGAAGAATATCTATTTTGTTTTAATTCAGTGATATATTTTCAGTGGCGGAAAATAACTCCTGTAAAACTTGTTATATTTTTAGTATTGGACTTAGATAAGTCACTTATCTGGGCCTCAGTTGTATCACCTGCAAAATGAGGCAACAGGATTTAACATAGTCTCTAGTTAATTTGAGCTCTAAACTTGTGCGATCTCATTTTTCATTTCAATTCAACATATGTTAATGAATGGAATACTTACATAATGTAAATCAATGAGGTAGAACCTGAGTGGATACAGAGATGAATGTGATTCCTTCATGCAAATAGCTTATAATTTGATGCCTTCAAAATTGAGATGTGTATTCCCCAATACATCCTAGTTCCTTATGTTTGACATGTCATTTATAAATAAGGGTATATTATTTAGTTTTTGAAGTGGAAGAAATTTATTTCCTTGTTACTATTTTCATCTCTAGATTTGGAGAAACAAAAATGGAGTCTAAACTATCATTTTAATAATATTGTGCATTTGTATTTCACCTTCATTGCCAAGCATTTAGAAGATTCTGGAATCATTTTCTTATCCATCACTAAAGTAGCCCAGTGCGAGTAGAAAAGGACAGTTATTCCCCTTTTAGTGATTAGAAAACTGGACCTGATTTTTCTGGAGTTATATAATATGCCACTGAATGAGAACAGGTAAAAATGCAGGAACTCTCAAGACTGCCCAGCCAGGTTCCTTTGTACGTTACAGTTTCTTTCAGTAAGTTCTGCAGAACCTGATTCCTAAATCATCTTTCAAACCAGATTCTTTCTTATTCCCTATCCAAACAGCAGCATAGCCGTTGATGATTTCAGATATATCAACAGGAAAAAAAATTGTGGTGAAAGAATGGAATGTATGCAGCAAGAAGTGTGCTGTGCAAGCTGTGATACAGTGTTTCAGTCTTTAGTTGGAATTAAAATTAGAAGTTGAAAAAACTTGGAGACTCCTCCATCAATCTAATCTAGAAACGTTTGACTGTAGGCCCAGAAGTCCATAATGAAATCTGCCCTTTTGCTAGCTGAGAACATCATTCTGAACATGCCACCTTGGAAACTTTGCATCAGTTCTTGGTATCACTAGAATTTTCCTATCCTGCTTTTGAGAAGAGTCAGTGTGAGAACAAATATACTTCTTTTTACAAATCTTGAAAGTAGATCCTTAGAAATAGGTGATTACATTTCCTTTATAACCTAAATCTTCCTATGTAGTAAAAAAACCATATTCATGTTTGGTCTCATAGTTTCCTTAGTCAAAAAATTTGCATCTAAAAGCCTAGGAAAATGTTTGGCCTGCACAGTTGAATGTTTAAACAGGTGCGCACTGCACTGGTCTGGCTGAAGAAAGGTAGTGTCCTCCACTTGGAAACCCTGACATTAAGAGAATGATTCTTGTGCCAGCTTTCAGGAAAGCTTGTGAAGAAAAAGTTCAGGTGATTCTTAAGTCTTATTACCTGATTATCAGCCCACGTGCCTCGCTTCCATTCTGTATTCTCATGAAGAAATTGATTTAATAGATTCAAGATATTATTAAATACATTCTGCGTTAATATTATATGTCCTCTTTGAATCCAACTGGCAATACAATAGAATTTCATTTTATAAATAACACCTTTCAAGCTAACACCACAGGGCACAGTACAAAAGAATCAAAATAGAACACAAATGCTGTAATCAAATGCAGACCCCAGGAAGGCTGATTAAAAAGGCATGTTGCTAGTAAGAACAGCCGACAGGGTAAGTATAGTGGGTCATAGCAGAAAAGCCAACAGAACAGAAGGGCAAACTAAAATAAAATGGACTCGCCTGCCTGACAAGGACTTATGACACTCCTTTGTCATCATCTCTTTTTGAACTCAGGAATTGCAGGGGAGAGGGGGGTGTGTATGTGTGTTGGAGGAGACAACTAAACATAGGGTCATTAAGTTTATCCTCAGTACCACACATAACACAAACAAAAAGAAATCATAAGGATAACCACCTGCAGCTAGCAGAGATGCCTACAGTGTGATTGTGAGACAACCCAACATGGCTTGCTTTGCAGATACCACTGGCTTTCAGAAAACACAACTGTGAAGTAACAAGTAGACCCCTTCCATAGTAGTGGGAACAGATAGTACTGCTGATGGCCAGGCATAGGTAAAAATGGATGAATGGTGAGAAGGGTGTTCTGTGGTCTTGACCTCAGTACAGTCTACTCTCCATAGAACTCTCCTCACCCAATTAGCTTTTCTGCTGTCAGCCTCTCACAGCCATACTCCTTGCTAATGTCAGGTGTTTGTGGTTTTAAACCCTACCTCTAATTATAGAGCAAAAGTACCTGTTCCCTTCTTAAGGGAATTAGGCAAAAGTAGGGGAGGTAATTTGGAATTTACTCTCTCCCTATATGTAAAACTAGTTCTAACAATGATCACAATGTCATAGTTTACCAAGTTGGTCATTTATTGATGCCTCTCTATTTAATATTAAGGGTAGAACAATATAGGACAAGAATCATAAGAAAAATTTCTAAATATGTATTTTTCTGAAAAACAGTAACCTATATTTGGCCAGGCATGTGGGTAATGCCTGTAATCCCAGCACTCTGGGAGGCCGAGGCAGGCGGATCACAAGGTCAGGAGTTCAAGACCAGCCTCACCAATATGGTGAAACCCCATCTCTACTAAAAATACAAAAATTAGCCAGGTGTGTTGGCACGTGCCTGTAATCCCAGCTACTTGGGAGGCTGAGGCCGGAGAATCGCTTGAACCTGGGAGATGGAGGTTGCTGTGAGCCAAGACTGCACCACTGCACTCCAGCCTGAGCAACAGAGCAAGACTCCATCTCAAAAAAAAAAAAAAACCCTATGTTTAAGAGCCACTCCTCCACAAAATTGTCATAGAAGAAGAAAATATGAGTTCTAGAGTTAATTAAAAAGAAAAGGAAAGAGAAAGGAAAAATGATAATTGAGGCAATTTTCACCTCAAAGCTTTTGGTTGTTTGTAATGACTCTCCTGATTACCCACTTAGTTGAGATTCTGGCGTGAGATCACTGTTGCATAAATTTAGGTCAATAGCTTAGTATTTCTGTACATTTTTTTCTTAAGTAAATTATAAACATGTAATTAAAATGTATGTGGGCAGCACTTGGGGGAAAAGGTTATTGTACATATACTGGTACTGTAACTTTTTAAAATATTCTATTATAGGCATTTATTTACTGGCCTCTTATTTTTCTTAATTCTGACAGTATTTGCTTAACTATGCACAGGGAGTTGGTTTATTAGTAAATGTGAACAGTAGTGCAATCAATTGAAAATATTGAATTATAATCTCTAATGTGAGTTATTTCATGAAGTATGTGAGCAAATAATAATGTCTGTGCCAGTTACCAATATATTACCTCCCATTGCCTCCTTCCAAATGTAGTCCTCCTTGCCTGCTCTGCAAAAGTGTATCTGGATTCTTTGAATATTTTTTCTTTTTTTTTTTTTAATTTATTTTTGCTAGCTGGTATGAGGGTGCTTTGTCAGTAGAGAAAGTAGAGAGACATTGCAGAAAGAAGAAATTTTCCTTCCTGGTTGTCATGCACTACTTTGGCAGCCTCCTGCAATGCGCACGGTTTCTCCAGAGCCTGGCTTCTACAATGTAAGCAACTTTTACAGCATCTAGCTCCTGCAGCAAATGCAGCTAACCTGGTACCCAGCAGCTGAAGCACAGATAGCTTCTCTAGTACCTGGTAGGTAGCAGCTACCCCTGGCACCCACCATACACAAACGTGTACACACACATTGGGCAATTTATAGCAGAGTGCCTCAGATGAGATACCTCCCTGTAAATAGCTTTCATTGGCACCCTAGAGTGCAGGTTCTACTGATGCAGCTCCCCAGCAACTTCTCGCCATTCAATGAGTTATGACTGTGCGTTGTCTAACAAGGTCTGGATCCTGGTCTAGGGGTCCAGAAGATTTTTGTCTTGAGTCCTACATCTAGATCTCAGCCCAGGGATAGAGGAGACTCTTCCTTGGGTATGCTATCTTAGCCCTACAAATAATGGCTGTTCCTTACATTTGTTATTCTTCTATTCTTCTTTATTTTTTGAGATAAGGTCTTGCTTTGTCACCCAGGCTGGAATGCAGTGGCATGAACACAGCTCACTGCAGCCCCAACCTCCTGGAATCAAGCGATCCTCTCACCTTAGGCCCACAAGTAGCTGGGACTGCAGGTACACACCATCTTGCTCGACTAATATTTTGTAGAAACAGCATTTCACCGTTTTGCCCAAACTAGTCTTCAGCTCATAGGCTAAAGACCCACCTCGGCCCTAAGTGCTGGGATTACAGGCATGAGCCCCTGCACCTGACCCATGTTATTCTTACATTCTTTAAAGTATTCTTTACATCTTACTAGCTACTCTCATTACTTTAATCCCCTGTTATTATTAATAATTTAAACTAAATTTTTCTATTCAAATTGCTGTATGATCTCTCTCTACAAACAGGCCCTGACTGACACATACCCAAAGAATATTAAAATAATCTATATTCTTTGGGAGTAGGAGAAGGTAAATATTATAAGTCATCTTTTTATAGAACAGATTAGTATTGGTACAATGTGCATTATCTAGGGCTGGCTATTCGATGGACAAAAAGTTTTGAGAATTTGCTGCTACATTGGAAAGTGCTACAATAATAGGGTGCTATATATTAGTCTAACTGTATATACAGTTTAAAGATCAAATTTTTAAATATTTTACATGATTTTGCTGAGACTTTTTAAAAATGTAAGCTATAATGAAGCAAACAACAAAGGTTGGACTAAAAAATAATTTGTTGACCCTGAAAAGATGTTGCAAAATAATTCTATAATGTAAATTTGTATATTATTAATGCTAGGATAATGATAACCATCCTTTATTGAGAACTCAGAAAGTCCTCAATACTTTATATTAATTTGTTGGATCCTCGTATTAATTAATAGAAGTGAATATTATTATCATCCCTATTTTACAAATGGGAAAAGAAAGAATTGGTAAGGTTAAGGAACTGGCCTGAGGTGTACATATAATAATTTCAGAGCCAAAATGTGAACCTAGATCTGCCTACGAGCCCTGAATCTTAACCACTGCCCCCTGCTTCCAGAATACTGACACTGAAGCAAATGGCAAGTCATTTGTGAAAACAAACGCAGGATACTTGTTTTTGTTGGTTTTCATCAAAGATCCAGAAAAAGAAACTCTGACATATCCGTAGAATGTATATAGCACACCCTGAGATATTTCTGAGTTAGCTAACCTATTACTTATTCTTAACAAAATATGGACAAACTGGATGAACATGGTGATCAGATCCCCAGAACCAAAGTGTTAACAGTGTATCAAAACCCAGCAGCCTTTATTCAGAGCTGAATTGAAGGCAGATGAAATATTAACAGCAGTTCTAGCAGCATAAAATGAAATATGAGATCCTGTATCCGAAATTATTAGTAACCTGTTAAAGGAAATGCTGAAAAATGGCAGTTACCAAATTAAAACTGGGAAACAGAGCCCAAATGGGAAATTTCAAAAAGTTTGGAGGAAAATAAATGACAGATTGTCCTCTTGGCTCTTATTACTATGCCATCCTAAATCCTACTTGGCAATGGATGGTGGAGGTGAAATAAGAACTGCATTGCTGCCAGTGCTGGTCCTCAGATTTGTAGTCCTAAGTGTCTGTGATGGTGTCTGGGATTGATTGGAAAAGTAGTTGGAAGTCGGTAGCATTTTAGCTTTATCTAAGTTAAAGAGTCTGGAGACTCTTATTATGAAAGGCTTTCTCTCATTTGTGAATTGGCCCCTTTGCTCCACTTTTGGATGGCTGGCTTCCTCCATGCCCAGCTACACTAAATATTCTACATGGGAAAGCTATTTTCCTTAACGCCTTCAGATTTAAAGCCATCTATTTGGATATGTTGGTGTTTATGACTCAAAATATCTAGCATCAAATAAAAAAAGAGAGATTACAAATACAAAATACCAAGTAGTAAATGAAGGACATATTTTTCCATTAGTAACTGAGAGCATAGAAATTACTATAAGCAGAGTTGTTGAGCAGTTGATGCCAAAGGGAGAAAAAAAAGGAAATGAGCTATAGAACCATAGAATCTTAGTGCTGGCAGAGACTATGGAGTTTATGCAGTCCTACCCTATCATTTTTCAATGAAGGGACTGAGACATGGGGAGTTAAGGGACTTGACTTGCCCAAGACACATAGTTGTTTACTGACAGTCAGGCCAAAAACATTTCCCAACTCCCAGCCCGGAACTGTACAGTTCAGCATGCTACTGCCGTCCTCTACTGAAAATTAACACTAACTCAGCCTGGAACACAGAAGAATTCAGCATCTGTGGGGAGTGAAAGAAAAGATGAATTTAGAGCTGGAAATCAGTCTGGGAAAAGAAAAGAGGAAACGGATGATTTGTCATTGTGACTTGTTGGTCAAGGTTGTTTAAGATGTTTTGTGTCAGTTACTCCCCTGTGCATTCCCACAAAACACAGTGAAATTATTTGGTTCTAATTCCGCAGGGTTTATATTTATATGTACAGGTTTTATTTGCTTGGCGAATTCTCCTTGCACAAGTCATCTCCAGGTGTAGATTGGTTTGTGGATGGCATTGCTATTGAACCTTGTCATTTACATGGGCCTGACTTACTTCCTCTAGCAGTGAAGTATGCTCCAGGGGAATCTTCTTCATGGGATACTCCTAACTGAGGGTCAGAAGTAGGCTTACAATGTAAGAATTATCTTCTATTAACCTTGTATTATTAACCACATGGAAAACTTGGGCCATATGTGGGACGTTTAATCAGGCTAATGAGATAGGTGAAATAATTTTCTTTATTTGGAAGCACAGAGTAATTTGAAGTAAACCAGTAGCAAATAAGATACAATAAAAACGTCCCAATAGGATCCCCTGTGAAATAGCATTGTAGCAGTATAGATCTTCTAGTTTACTCAAATATTTTTCAGAACCAGAGCAACCAGAAATGAGAGAATCAGATAATATGATGAAAACTACAGATGGAATGCTTTGCATGAAAAGTGATTATATACAAGAGAGGGCTTAGGAGTGGGTAGGAGTAGAGTTGGAAAAGAGTGGGTAACTGAAATAAGAGAAGATAATGCTTGACCAGGTCTAGTAAAATATTCCCTGCCACAACCGCTATTCCATGAAGAGATTGAGCCAAGAGGCCTGAATAAACTAACCTTAAGTTCAGAGTTGCCATTATTGTGGGAGGCATCAGGGAGAGTACATCCGGATTTGTGTTACACAGTAATCACTGCTGGGTGTCAGCATTCATCAGCCAGATGGTCAGACCTACAATTAATCAATTAGGCTGCGATGATCAACTGGACTACGTTTTCCCCTTTGGTAAAAAGCCCTCATCATGCGGTTAAGGCCAATAACACTTTTATCCTGTTGCTTTTGGAGAAGCTTCTAAAAATTCCTCTTTTCTTTTTTGGGCCTCTAGTTACTGGACAACTGTTAGGCTCCAAGTTGCTTTGACAACATAGATACCCAAATTCAAGGATTTCACATAATAGATTTCCAACATCCTGTGTCTTCAAGTATAATGTTTAATGTACCCAGACAGAAATAATCTTTTTAAAGCAGCATTGTCAGCAGTGTTACTCAACTGATTTTACTAAAGTCTTCATATTGATTCCACTCAATCCAGTGGAATAATGCTGGAGGAGATTCTTTCACTGGGTACTTATACAGATGATATGGTATGATAATCAAATAATATGAATAATAAGCAATTTATTGAATGTTTGCCATATGACAGGTACTGCTGTGATAAGGGTTGATGAACATTGATTCAGTGTTTACAATGATTCCATGAGGATGATAATATTATTCAAAGAGGGAGAAACTGAGACTAGAAAGTTCATTTGCCCAAGGTTAAACAGTTAGTAAATATGTGTTGAGATGACTTAATACCCTCTGAAATGAAAGCTGAAAGTTTTCATTTACATTTTCTTACTCATATACATCTGTGCATCTCTAAGGGACAACATTTAGGAACTATGTGGTGGGTCCTCATTATTCCTCTTAAAAGGATTTTAAAGAAATATTTTAGTTGTGTTCCCCAAGTCTGTTGCTCTCCTTCTGTTTTCCATGCTGTTTTATTCTACATCATGTGACTTGAGATTGCTTTCTTCCGTCTTTATGACCATTACTATCATTTCCTGACAATTATCAGTCTCCACCTTGGTATCTTCATCTAGATATGGTTTCTCTAAGTCTGTTCAGATACCAAGACTTTTTTGTATCAGTTGACTTATAGAGCAATTTGCCTCCTCTGAAACAAAATGTCTATCACTATTTTTTTTATGTTGAACCTTGTTTTTCTGTCTATTTTATTTTCCCTCTCCCCTTGCTATATTACAATACTACTGCAGAGGGAGAGGTGTTTGAAGTCCTGTTAGTGGGAACATCACTTCTTGATGGAGGTTTAATGGAGGTCTATGCTGGCCCCACTGAGTAGAAATATGGTCACAGTGTCATAGTTCCCCTGTGTTTTATCATTAACCGGTATCTCTCTTTTCTTTAAGCTCTTCTCTATCCCCTCCCAAGCTCAATTTAAAGAGTACTCCTCTTTAACCATTTCATACAGGCTATATACAGACACTGTTAACCCTAATGTACTTGAGGTATCAGACTCATAATTGTATTATTTTATGAAATATGAGGCTTTTCTTGCTATTTAACTGCAGTGCTTTGCATTTTATTTGTTTTTCTACTTACAGAATTGGGAAAACAGTGCGAAAATACTAGGATAGTATATAGGAAATCACCATTTCTTAATTCACGTTTGGGAGCATGTGGAAGAAAAGATATTTCAGAAACCTTAATGAGCATCTTTTATCCTCCAGGGCTCTACCAGCGCCCTCTTTTTCTGCCTGTGGCACTCTGTTTTGTCCTTGCTATGTTTGGTAAGCAGCTTTTTTTTCTCTTGATGCTTCTTTTCTTACAGTTCTGCAATCTTCACCCCAGAGCTGATGAGGCGCTTTCATTTTGACCTACAGTATTTCTGATATTGCAGAACAGAGCCCTGCCATCTAGACTGTCTTTCTGCTTCATTTTGCTCCTGACCTAAACCCCCCTGCTATTCCAGGCCTGGCCTCTCATGACCAGAGACTGCTGACTCATCCTGGCCTGTGCCAAGCTGTGCAGTCGCTTAGTGATGTGGACAGGAGTCGAAGGACTAGAATGAGATCACTGAACTCATTTCACTTGTTGCTTACGGTACAGTCCAGCATGAGCTGGAAATGTAGGAACCTCAGCCTCCCGAGCAGAAAGAGTAAGTAGATAAAACACACCGCATCACCAAGTCCTCAACAAGCAGTAGTCGGGTGGCGGGTGGGGGCTCGCTCTATCATGGCCGTGGCTAGGGCATTCTGGTTCATCAGGAGTTTTCCTTTGTCCTCTCTTCTTCCTCTTCTCCACAGTCGTACCCTTCCCCCCTTCCCTGAACTTCCCTTCTGAAAATGTCTGGATGGTACAGCAGTGATCTGGGCAGAAATGAAATTTGGCTAATAAGCAGCCTCTGCACAAAATTCTGGAACAGTGACACTGTTGAAATTGCTTAGTTTAGTTTGTCTACTGGGAACTCACATGAACTTCCCAACAGAATTCAAGGGGATGAAATCTTTTTTGTTCTGTTTTGTTCTCCTTTCCTTTTTGATTCTCTTTTTCTTTCTGTTTTGAGGGAGGTAGTTTCAGGAGACATGGCTGCATTCTGGTGTGGTGTAAAGTTTTCCGTCGGGAGACAATAATGTACATTCCTCTGGCAGGACGGGATGGGTTTTTTTTGTTTCTCTTACTGTTGTTTATTTATAAGACATTTCCTCCCAGTTAGTGGAAGTTAGATCGTAAGAGGCTCCAGTGATTTTCCTTCCACCTCCCCTCCCTAATTTCTGTGCTTCAGCACTCTGGAACACTGTGAACTCGACAAACTAATCAGAGCAGGGAGCTTAACAGCCAGGCCTGGACACCCTCAAGAGACTGTGTGCTGATTCTCAGTCGTCACTCCTTGGATCAGGAACCACAGTCCTGGTGAGTGGTGAGGTTCCAGAATTTGATGTGTCAAGGATTTTATTCTTGGTGTCTCTAAGGCAAGCAGGAAATAAAGGGTGTTTTTAAAACAAACAAGCAAAAAATACAATTAAAGAAATACTACCAAACAGTCAAATGGAATGATGAAGATTTTTAGCGGGCACAACTGAGAGCACTCTACGGACGATGGCAGAGCCTTGAGACTATGCTCAGGAGCAGCCTGCAGGCATAGGTTTCATACTGCCACCGATGGATGTCAGCCTTGACATGCCTAGCAAACATGCTTGTGGGGGGGGGAAGATAGGTGAGTGGGGGCAGGGAGGTAGTATTCAGGGAGGTAGACGGGGGAAGTGAAAGTGGGATTAATTGTTCATTTGGAGTCTCACTCCACCAGCTTTCCATGCATTTCTGTTCTGAGTATTTACATTATGCTCACAGTACTTACATACCCAGCTAGGCAGGAAAGAATATCTATATTGGATGTAGAGCAAACATTCTTGCTAATACTGTTCTAAAGATCACTTTGCTAACTGGTTGCTTTTAAATGTTAGGGAACCTCCCCACACCCGACCTTTGGAAAATATGATTTGTCACACCCTCTTCTTTATTCTTCTGCATTCATAGTATCAAGCAGAAGAATGCAATGAGAATCTTTATTTGGTTCTGGGGAAATTTATCATCCTGCCACAGGAAAACTAAATGACTGTCCTCACAGTATTAAACCCAAATATAGTGTTGTCCTCAATATAAGGGACACTGGTTGAGAGTGCTCTGGGAAGCTGTCGAAGGAATGGAGTGGGGGTGGTTGCATCCTGTCTGATGTGAGACTAGCAGAGGAGTCCACAGACCAGCTTTCATAGCCAAAATGTGCCTTCCATATCCTTCTTAATAGCTCATACTCTCCCTAAAAGTAGAATTCCTATTGGAATGTGTTTTTACCCTTTACCATCAGGTCCCTGCTTAGTTTCTTTTCTAGAGGTATTCCATCTTACTGAGTTTTCTCATATTCTTTCTAATTTCAAGAATCTGGTATGTTCTAAAATATTAAGTGTGGAAAAAACAAAAGAAGAAACAAAAACCAGAAAAAAAAACATGGTGGCCATAAAAGCATTCGACTGTGTGGCAGCATCTGAAGGGAATTGCTTTTTGGAAAGAGGGGGAGTCTTTGATGTCCCCAATATGGTTCTCATAGGCTGAAACTTCCAGGAATCACAACCCAGCCTAAGGGGCACTTACTCGATGTTCTTAAATTTTAGGAGAGAGATGCTATTTTATTGTTTTAGTTGTCCTTGCTATTAACACATTGTCAGTAGATTTCTCCTAGAAGTTTAAAATACTTTAGCAATGGATGATTTTACATTTAACCAGATGTGCATTGTATGTGCCTGTTGCATGTACTCTTGTCCAAGCTGGTACAGTGATCCAGCATATTACATTGGTACTCAGCTTTGGAATTTTGTCTGCTATACTGAGTGATTCAGATTCTTAACCATAGAACTCATACATGCTCGTATATCCCAAGTTTCCTTTAGAGACTGACCTCTGCTACAGCCCTATCAGGTTTGTCAGTGGCCTCTAGGACAGAATCAGCTTCCTATCACAATTCCTGTAGTTTGTGAGGCACATTAAATTCCTCAGCTGTCATTGTGATAGGAAATAGTCTCAGAGTTTTATTAGGACTAGTATGGTAAAAGTTTAATGTTGTATTAATAGTAAAGTTTGCCTATTGTAGTTAGCTCATGTTAGTTAGTACTACACTATTTATGTGAATTTCTTGGGTAATTTTCATTAGTTATCTTGTTTTCTAAAGAAAAAAGTTTAAAGGGAAATGGTGTTAAATGTTTACAATATGGTATAAAAAATGTAACTAGCTCTTAGGCCATAACCACCAAGACCTACATAGGAAGTTAACATTCCTCAGTTAATATTCAAACTGAGCAGACTCCCAGGAAAACTATCTCATAGTCTCTGGTAGGGATGTCTATTAGAACTGCACTGAGGGCAAGCTAGATCTCTAACGCTTTGAAAACATGTTATTATTGACTGCATAGGAAATTATATAAGCAACTTTAAGCAGAGAATAGGTGAAAACACATATTTAAGAGTATTCCCAAGACATGACATTTTAAAAAAATATAATCTGCCAGAGAGGTTTCTCTTATAGTTGCTGAAATCTGGAGTTCCAAGTGGCCGTGGAAGAATTTTCATGACTAAATTGAAATCTATAAGAAGTCAGAATTTGATTAGTATACCTGTGATACAAAGGCAAGACAATGATGTATTTCTTTGTGTTTCAATGGCTATATTAATATTACCTATTTTTTCAATACCTTGATTATAAGCCTTCACAATGTACTATCAGTAACTCAGTTTCCTAGTGCTAACCTGGAAATTCTAATTTCATTAAATTGGTAAGGATGCATATTGTGAAATGTATATTTCCTTGCATGCATATTTTGGCTGTAAGTACTTCCTATATGCTATATTCATTTAATTAGGCAGTCGCAAATATACACAAATGAAATTGCTAAATAACAGAATTGTCACTACCCCAATAAGAAGTTGTTCTTTCTTATTTGTATAGAAATGATTTTTAGTATTTATGTGATTCCCCTAAGACATATATTTTAAAACCTTAAAAAGGAGTTGATTGCTTGTATCATATGATTGTATATGTATGTTAGCTTATAAATGCCTACATATATGCACAACCATATATCTATGTTCAGCTATTAAAAATATGACCAAATTCTAGACAGGCTTACTTGCCTTTGATTTCAGTCAAATGTTTTCATCATAATGACCATAAATGAAGTGTAGTTGACTTTTTGTCATGCTGACAACACTGAAAGTTTACACAAATATTTATGAACAGTATTTGCAAAAAGAAAGATGTAGTTAGCTGATAAGTTTGGTAATTATCCGTCAGCAAATATACACGTTAGCTTATCAACCTAAATTCTATTATGTACAACTTCAAAATATTAATTGCTGTATATATAAAACAGTTTAAAATTAAGTAGAAAGAAATTAATTGATATTATCTTAAAATTGAGCATACATTTAATGAATTCATTTTATTTTATAAAACTGAGTACATATACAAATGATACCATTTATTCTATTTTCTCAGCTATTTTACTGTATGTTAAATATTTTGATGCTGTATTTACATATTAGCATCAGCAACCACAATTTTTCTGATACCTTTTCAAGATCAGCCAAATCATATCCTTGACAAGTCACACTTTTTATCTGAAATTTTCTATAAAACCCAAATTAAAAGTGATCTGACATTGGTAGCATTTTACAAATCTATCTTCATTTAGCATTTATATATGTTTTTAATTTGAAGTTTTTTCTATGTATGAAACTGCAGGTGGTTAGAGGGCAGGTTTTGTGTTTTAGGTTTGTTAATTTCTCTCCCAAACAATGTCAGATTGCCTCAGTCTGAGTGGAGAATCAATGAATAGGTGATGAACGAATGAATATCTACATGGCAGTGCAATGACAGTGAATACATCTTGCCTATCATGATGAAAGAAACAGCCGGACACAGTGGCTCATGCCTGTAATCCCAGCACTTTGGGAGGCCGAGGCGGGCAGATCACCTGAGGCCTGGAGTCGAGATAAGCCTGACAAACACGGAGAAACCCCCTCTCTACTAAAAATACAAAATTAGCTGGGCATGGTGGCGCGTGCCTGTAATCCCAGCTGCTCAGGAGGCTGAGGCAGGAGAATCACTTGAACCTAGGAGGTGGAGGTTTCAGTGAGCCAAAATCACACCATTGCACTCCAGCCTGGGAAACAAGAGTGAAACTCTGTCTCAAAAAAAAAAAAGAAAAAGAAAAAGAAAAAAAAGAAACAGGTCCATGTCTAGAACACAAATTGGTAGGGTCTTCTATATCTGAGCCTCCCTAACTCTCATGTTAGATCTTCCAACTATCTGACAGCATTTCCAACCATTTGCTAAGTTTACTTCTCTAATCCCCACAATGCTTGGGTAATTTCTGATGGAACATGGGATCTTGAATTTGCAGTAGTTCCATTAATTTTCCTGGACTTATGAGAGTGACTAAATACCCAGCTTCATCAGCTCATGTAGTCAGAAAGTACCAGACCTACCTATAATGCATCATATTAACCAACAGTCTCTCCAGCTTGTCAATACTTGCTTATAGTTACTCACTGGTTCTTCCTTTCCTCAGACTCCACATCTGTGGAGGTCAGGCTGATGTCAGTTATGGAAAGGCATGAAGACTGGCTATGGATGCCCTGTGAACTAGACAGGAGAGAGGCGGGGCAGACATACAGCACAATAAAGAGCAGGGGCAAGAAGACTGGCAGCCAAATCATTTGCACTGTCTTAACAAGCACTAATTAAATGCCCTGTTTGAGGTAAATAATAGCTAAAAATAGCCTAGTGCAGTTGTTTCTCATCAATGAGTAGAGAAATTGGTGGAATCGCTTAGTGCTGTTTCATTCATTAAGCTGTAGCACACTAAGCCTTCTTCAGAGGAGAGGGGCGTCAAGTCGAGCTAGCCTCTAAAGTACCATTTGCTAAATTCCCATTCTAGCACCCTAGATGGTATTCTGCTGACAAAAATCACATCCAGAGAATAACCGTACATACTACAAACTGACCCTAATAAACAATTTTAAAACCCCAAAATATTGTGTATAATAAAGCATGCTTTAATCTTACCCATTTTCAGTTGTCAATCAACTTAGCAATCCCCAAACTATATCTAATTCTGTCCCCTAAACCAATTTTTTTCCTGGAGTTTATATATATAGAATATTCCTTTTCATCTCTTTATTTTCCCTACTCACTCTCTGGTAAACTGAATTCCTAGATGTAAGCAGCCATAGAAAGAAAAGTGATTCACGTAATGGATAATTAACCCTTGAACAATGGAAAGTTAACTCTCCATAGAAATGCCAAAAACTGAAATGTTTTGTTATTGAATTTATTCTCCTTTGGGAGTTAACACTAATGG